ACATCTTTTTTCTTCTTCTCTTTTCCAGGTGATTTGTGAGAAGATCTTCAGGCCGTGGTTTTCTCCCACACTGCTTGGGGCCAAAGCTGGGCTGCCACTGCAGGTAGGATTGTTTGTATTATACTTTTATTTTATTTATTCTCTTTAGATCAGTGGTGCCCAACCTTTTTACTTAAAGGACCCCTTTTTGAGTAAACAGATGACCCCTAAAATGGAAAGACATGCAACAGATGAATATATTAGGTAAATAAAGTACAAATGTATTATATGAAATCGAATTTTAAGCACAGTGTCAACAGGTTCAGAGTGAAGATTTTGGACAATGTGCATCAGTTCTGAATTAAGTTTCTCTGGTTGAGATTTTAGTCTTTCTCTAAACAAAAAAACAAACCCTTTATGTTTTATTGAAAAGGTGGAGCTGCAGCGAGCGGTGCAGGAGTGTTCAGAAACAGAAGGAGGTGCAGAGGAGGATGGAGATGGAGGAGGAGAGACAGGTCAGGGCAGAGGTGTCCATCAGCGTCTCCTCAACATCCTGACACGCCTCCTACAGGAGGGAGGGGCTTCAGGGGAAGCAGGAGGGGCCTGGGAGGGGAAAGGCCACGTCCACACTGCACTAAACTTCTGAGGATGTCATATCCCCATAAAAGACTTTATTTCTATCAAAAGATTCTTCTTGGGCAAGGTGATCCCTGCTGAAATGCTCAACCTGGACTCCAGTGATCCTCCTGGAGAAAACATCCCTTTGGCACAGTTTTTAGGTCCAAGGCAGCAGATTAAGGTACCAGGAGCCACCAAATATGGAGCCTTTCTGGGAGATATTCAAGATTATATCTCATCATCAACATTAACTACATAGTCAAAAGTATGTGGACACTGTGTGTACTTTTGGCCTTTTTGTTCTAATGAAGGGAAATCTTAATGCTGCAAATGTCTGTTAGTAATATTTTAGACATTGGTGTTCTTCCAACTTTGTGCCAGCAGTTTGTCTCTTTCCTGTTTCATCATGACAGAAATGGTTTTCCCAGTTTGGTGTGAAAGAACTTGCCCATTGTGCGCCTTTTGGATGAACTGGAACGTAGACTGTGAGCCAGAGATGATCGTCAAAATCAGTTGGACCTGACTGCCGCTCTTGTGTCCGAATGGGATCAAATCCCTGCAGAAGGTTTAACATCTAGATTTTGTTGCCCCAATTTCTGCTGTTTGTTGTCCAGGGAGTGTGTGAGTATCTGCAGTGAGAGAGCTCAGCGATGCCTTAAATATCTTCTCATCAGAGGAGTATATTATAGATCCAGTGTACTTGGATCCTCATGTTTTTTTCTTCCTTTACGGTTAGTCTCAGTGAGATTTAAAAACCTCAGTTGTTTGAAATACATAACTATAAATGCTGCAGACAAGCTGTTACGGTGTAGTGACTATTAGTCAGTAAGTTAATGGTAGTGGTGGGCGGATAGATCCAAAATATCGATATATCGATCCAACGTTGTATTGATATTGATCGATACAGTGTAATGAGATCGATACTTATTTCAGTTTCTGTCCTGTCCGCGCTGCTGCGGAGGCGACCTGGCTGTCTGTCTCTGTTGTAAGTGCCTCTGCTTTGAGGCCGCTCCTGTCACAGCGCTGAGCACAGCCAGGCAACACTCTGCTCCTCCTCCCCCCTTTTGTGGCTTTAATGTCCACGTCGACCCAGGTAAACAAGCAAGCAGGTCTGCCGCCAGTAGAAGAATTTGTTGAGAAGAAAGTGGAGCGCTGTCTGGCTTTATTTTCAGGTTCAAATGAAACAACGGCAATTGTGTAGTTTGTAAACAGGCTTAAATACAGTGGCAATACACGAATTTATATAAGCCACATGAAAAATCATCCAAAAGAAATATAGCAGCTACAGAAACGGAGAGAGGAGGAAGAAAATCCCCACCCTGGCCCGTACAGACCACCACCACGACCCAGAGGCAGCGTCTTTAGAGAAATATCCAGGTAGATAATAGTGTGAAAGTAATATTTTGGTCCATCTTCGGCATTAGTTAATATAATTTTTAAGTGCAACTGGTCAATTTGTTACTATAGCCAACTCAATCAAGTATAAAGTAGGCTAAGACCTTGAAA